GATACGTCATCAACCAGTCTGATCCCATGGACTAAGGCCTTATCAGCACCGAGAGAGAGCAAAAACACAAACTTGCAATGAGCACACAGCATGCAGGCGATCGCAGGGCCTGACGGCTTCCCTATTGGGATGCCAATTATCTGGCGCACAATCTTCCCTCCTACCATAGTGAAGGTATTAGCCAAGTCAAAACGACGAAATCTATCAGCTTAGAAAACTTAACCATTTCCCAACCATCCTGCTTTCTACCCCTCATAAATTTAGCGCCCTTCCCATGCTTCTTAATCATCACATTCTCAACCCCGTCCCTCACTAGGCTACCAGCCGGGCCGCCCGGGTCACCTTGTGTTGCCTGTGCGGATGGTCCCAGCAAAAAAAAAGAAACAAAAAACAATCCAAAAAAATCCGAAAAAAAAACTATGTTATGCAAAAAAATAAACAAAACAACTTTTGCCTCAGGGTCATATCGAAATTCTTTACCAATTTAAAAATAAAAATAAAAACATAAAAACTAAAATTTTATTTTTATTTATTTTAATCCTTTTTGGCCCGGTCGGGCAAGTGGTCCCGGGCCACTCTGGTAGCCTAGGTACCTCATCCAAAAATCAATCAGCCATTCAAGGGCCCGGATAATCGATAGATGTGGGAGATTGCAGAACATCTCCTTCACATCGTAAGACGAAGTCAACAACTCCTCATTCCTGTTAACGTTCTTGTTGATGGATGTCACATGCTGCAACAACAGATCCGTACTCTTCATGTTAAAATGCGATCTACTCGGCAACTGCCAAACCATCTCATTGACCACCTTCGACACGATCTTCGAACTCCGCACATTGCATTCAGAAAAGGATGGGCAAATCGGACGCAACTTACTGACATCCTTATGCTTCGGGATTATATATGCATGACCCAGCTTTCCATACTTATTCCATTTGGCAAAGTCAGTCAGCCCCTTCTTCTTATACTCGACTCCCATCCTACTCAGCAATTCTCCTTCACCCTCACCCCAAGTCTCAAACCCGCTATTATCCAAGAACAATTTATTTAATCCTACTTGGTAAACAACTGGGCAACACACCAGGGTATCAGCTGGATTATGGTCGATAGGCACGCAAACCAGACCCGCCGCTTTTCTTTTCCAATCAAACACATCCTCTTGTCGGATATAGACGCCCGGATTGACATCGGTGTTACCACGACCAAAACAGTCGGTCAGATCATCCAATCGAACAGCAGGGATCACACACCCCAACATAGACATGCCATCGTTAATCTCTTGCTGCAATTGCTTTGTCAGATTACGAGTACCCGACACTGAGATACTGCGGTTATTTTTCAACCAGGGTGGCGCCAAATCCTATGTGCTCAATCTACAACAGATGTGATCATCAGCCCGGACCCCAAACCCTTCAATCGGCATACACGTGCAAGCCAACTCACACTTTTGTGAAACTTCTCGAAAATTAAAAATAATATCTCCAATGCTCCGATTTTTAACCCAGACAACCCGGGCTCGCCTGATTAACAGTTCCTTTCAATCCCAATTCAGCTCGACTTTCTTAATAAGGTCCTTACACAAGCGTCGAATTCCTGGCTTACTTAGTCGGTGGTCATATGTAATCCGCACAGTCGGTCTTTCCCTAACATTAACATCAAACTTTCTTCTCACGATCCCAGAGATGACCAGCCGGAGAGAACAACGGGTTCGTTTCTCCGAAAAAACCCGAATTGCTAAATAACTACGTACCAGTGATCCAAAATCCCATGAATGCAGCTCCTTCCTAGTGCACGGTTTAACCAACAGCTGTGCGAGCATAGGTTTCAAATAACTCAACTTCGAACAAAAGGAAATGATACATTCAACAAAAATCGAGGATCCCTTGATAAACAAGCCCCGACACTTCTTCAAAATTACCCTCTCCCCATTCACGCTTACAATGGAAGAACCGAAATTTTGCTTCACTAACTTCCAGTTATCCGTCAGACGATCATCTCCCGAGCAGGCAATTCGCATCGAGGTCACTCCTTTACTCAAACAATCATCCAAAACCTTAATCAAGGAGACAGAGGAACCCCCCACAGAGGGACAGAGTGACGTATGAATAGCAATAGACGTACAAGCAAGATTCCTGCCCTCCTTCAATTTTCGCCGACATCTTTCCCTCTTACCCCTCCTTTTTCATTTCCCCTGCCGTTTCTTGTCCCTGGTGTTCAAGTGCGGGTTAATCAGGCGAATCAAATTTTCTTTTTATCGTTAATAAATCCTGCGGTAGGCATCGACAAACCGGTATCATAACATACTGCGCAACCCTAATCCTTCGGAGCCAGGCATACAATTGATGGTTTCTCTTCCCATTCTCAATAACCCCTTCATTCAGACACCTGTATAAATGTTCATTCCAACGGACTGCTAAGGATCTACCTGTAGAGCCCACATACACATGTTTCGACCAAGGGGATACCAGCAAATACACCCACGATCCTTCGCCGCTACCCAGCTCCACTTCATCTATCACAATCTCTTCCAAATAGCTCTTAAGTTTCCTTGCCCATGGAATACAATCCAACAAAATCAGCTTAAGCACGATCAGTCTGAAAAAACCATTAAAATCCTTGTCGCGAAGAAAGAAGTCCGTACTCTTACCATCAATGCTTCCTCGGTCGTCGTCAGACTCCTTACCAATGGATGCAGTACGCACCCTCCCCTCACGACGCCTCCTATAATAAGGCGCTCATTTCCACAGCAACTCGCGTTCGGGAATAGTCCCTAGAGTTCGCCAGATCTTCCGTCCTCTGACGCGGAGGCTTCTTCATCCGCACGGGAGTCATCAAACACTTCATGAACCGACTCACCACTCACGCTGTCCTTGCTGCCCTCCGCTTCCTTACCCAGTGCTTTATCGGCTCGGTATTCTGCGATGTCAGCAATCATTAAGTCAACAGACCGAAGTTTGAGTCCTGCTTCTCAACAAATCATTTCCAACCCAGACTTCTTGTAGTTTCTCAAATCCTTCTTCTGTGCTTCAATGAAGTGAAAGCGTTCGTTAACGCTCCCAGACGACTCTGCATTGTTTCCCATGTCCCGTAGAGGCGTAGATTTCAGGCCTTTTCTTCCAGATCGGTTAGCCACAACCTCCAATCGTGTTTTCAAGTTCGTTCCCCCTCCCTCACGTCGCTTTTCGGACTCCTCCGAAGGCAACTTGCTCAATTGCTCCTTGAGTTTGATGACCTCACCTTCTGTAACAGCACGCTTCCCTTTGAGTACCTCAGCTTCGCGACTCTCCACCCGATGCATTTCCTTCATCTTCGCATACTCCTGTTTCCACTTGTCGGCTTCACGAATGTTATCAGTCCAACGCGGTGGAGGTGATGCACGTGTCTGACCATTGGGAGTTCCGATAGCCACACTGCCTCTTGTTACCAGGCCGTAGAGCTTCCCCCTTCCATAGCTCTGCCTCCTCCCGATCCTTAAACCCCTGGAACTTTAATCGACCTACTTTAGTCCGTAGGCCATCGAGTTCCCTTTCGAAACTTCCTTTCGCGAGGGCAGAAGATCTCAACTGCTCAATTTCTTGCTTCATGGCAAAGATATCATCCTCGGCGACCTTCTTCATCGTCACCTGCCTCTTCAGTTCAGCGATCTCTTTCTGCAATTGGGCGACCTTGCCCACCCCGCCTTCTTCCTCGTCTTCTTTAAGTAACAACCTTCTTATCTTTCGTTCTCCTTACGCATTCTTTCAAGTTCCACAGAGAAGGTCTCCTCTTCACCAGATTTCTTCTTCAGTATCGCCCCACTCTTCTCTTCCATACGCTTGTCAAGTCGAGCACTCATCTCAGCCTCTAAACGTTCACGTTCCTTTCTCCACTCCTCTTTCCTATCTTCTTCTTCCTTCAGCCTTTTTTCTCTCTCCTCCTCGTCTTTCTTCTTAGCTTCTTTTTCTTCGTCAACCACGGTCTTCGCAAAGCAACGATCCAGTTTCTCTTGGTTGACCCTCCAGAAGTTGGGGCGCCCATACGAAGAGAATCCTCCGGCGAACCCAAACGGGTTACTAGCTGCAACAGCAACGCCAACATTGGACCCAGATGAAGCAGGTGCAGGTAACGTAAGGACCGGGTAGCATTAGCCCCGGTAGCATAGCCTCTGCCATAACTACGGTGAGGACATTCACGCTGGAAGTGATTAGGACAACCACAATTGTAACACGATCTAGGTGGAAATTGGCCAGCCATGATTACCTCACAATAACGTCAGTCGCTTCACAGTCGACGAGCCACACTCTCGTAGTATAATCTCTACGGAGGTTACGTACGTAGAATAAATGGTGATTAGTATAAACCAATTATATTACAATGAAGCAACGGGGTATCATGAGGACAAGCACAGCAAGGCAATTCCACACACACAACCGAGTAAGGGAAGAAGAGGAGAAAGACCAAACCAAATAATACACAGCACACGATTCTCCCGAACGCGATGGCGTCAACTGATATTCAAGAAAAACATAGCCGAATCAGCTCGAACCGAAATTGAGCGTCATGCTCGTAATCGTCAGAATCCTGTCCGAGCATCTGGCGGTCGACCCTACATGTTTCATCCGGCCGCCAGTGCCGGAATCGTCAGGGGTCTATCACGGCGGAGATAGAATAGTGTACTGTGTGGACAGATATATACCTATCGTCTAAACCAAAACTATTCTAGACTACTCCTGAGGCCTGACACGACTCCAGTACTGGGGACTTGGCCCCCAGTACTGCAAACTCTCAAATTATTTCAAAATCCTATATAATTTTCTATATGGGCAGCTGGGCCCGGTTCGCAGCACGTGCTGCTCCCCACGAATGGATTGGAGCTTTGTTCGGTGGGGTGACGTCGCACCTTCTGGGCCATGGGGCTGTCGCGCAGCGGCGGCGGAAGCTGGGGGGGCTTGAGTAGCTGGGGCGCTGCGCTCGCATAAAAGCTGTGCAGGGTCCTGCAGGTGGGTGGCGGGTGGCACGCCGGCGGAACAACCGTTGGGTGGCTACCGTTGTGGTTCGTCATTGCCCGCCCTTTTTTTGGTGTCATCCTTGCCCCGGGGCCATTCCGACCCGACGGACAAACGCATTCCTTCTTGTTGCCCGCCTTTTCCAACAAGAAGAAAAAGCGTGTTTCCTGGGGAAGCGAGGGTGGAGGGAGGGACTGCCACCGTGTACCGCAAGCTACCGGGTGGCGGCAAGGGCTTTAGTGTGCGGCCACGTGCACCAATGTGGTGACACGTGTATGACACGTGGCAGGCCACGTGGCAATGTGAGGTTTCCCGGGAATCTTTGAAGATCCCCACTTACCGGAAATCGGGTGACGAAGAGGCAAGGAGAGATATAAAGGCTGGAAGAAATTAAGGGGAGGGGGAGGGGGAGGGGGAGGGGGAGGAGAGGGGAGGGGGAACGTGGGGAAGGTGGGAAAGGTGGGTAGGGATTTACTTCGGAGATGGCCCTGGCGGCGGCGAGAGGGGGCTTCGCCCCCGCTCGAGTTTGTACATCTTCTACGACTAATCATCTGACGAAGCTGACGTGCAGGGGCCTGGTAGAGACACGTGTCACAACCAGAAAGACCATCGTCAGCTCGAATCCTATCACTGAGAACTTGCGATTATGCTCGACCTCGTCGTCTACTTCGTCGTCCTCTTCTCCAATCATCGATAATCATATTGGCAAGTCGCTGACGCCACGTCAGCAGACTCAGAGTCCATGTCAGACATCGACACTCTTTGGGTGGACAAGAAGAGGAAGACGAAGATCGTCATCGCCATCGCCATCGCTGCCTCTGTCTGATTCCAGTTTGCGACGGAGGTCTTTGAGTGGATGGGATATTTCATGTCCTAGCAGGAGTTCACGAGACCCTCTCGGTAGGGGTAACGTAAGAGTAGGAGGAGGAGGAGGAGGAGGAGGAGGAGGAGTGGGAGAGGTAGGAGGAATAAGTGTAGGAGTAGTAAAAGTAGGTCATGTTAATGGTGGTCATCTCGACCGTCAAAAACGTTTCGTCTCTCGGGCAGCCATAGTTGGCGATGGCTCTACTATGGTTGACGAGGAGACCAGATCCGTTGAACCTGGCGAAGCCATAGCTTCTGAAGCCCCCTCTCAAAATGGCGATGGTGGAAGAAGTGACGAAGAAAGGTATCGCTTCGTTGGCTCTTTCCAGAAAAGACTGCGGATATCTGATCTGAAAGGAGGGGAGGATGGAGGAGTAGAAAACGTCGGCAAACAGGTTATGATTAAAGGATGGGTTCGCACTGTGCGGCTGCAGAAAGCGTTTGCCTTCGTCGAGGTCCGTTTGCCTCCGTTTGCCTCCGTTTCGCCTTTGTTCACCTCCGTTTGCCTCCCTCCGCTTACATCCGTTTGCCTCCGTCTGCCTCCGTCGTCTCTTCCATCGTTTGCCTCTTCCATCGTTTGCCTCCATCTTTGGCCTCCATCTTTGGCCTCCGTTTGCCTCCGTTTGCCTCCGTTTGCCTCCATTTGCCGGAATGGTATCTCGGGGGAAAAAAGTGTAAACCTTGACGTCAGTAGCTCAACTCACAGAGTCCAGAGGCTGGTCATATCACCCATGTAAGCAGCACCCCCTAACTGATGCTGCAAAAAAAA